ATATCACCACAAAGGATCTTCTGATAGACACATATGGACAGGAGGAAGCTCTGGATGTCGTCATTGAAGTCTTTACTCAGAATGGACTAATGGGACCTGCAAATGACCTCTGGAAAAGGAGAAGAAAAAATGGTGAGGTCCTGTCTATGGCGGTGATTTTATAACTATCATTATATAATGTTCACTAATAATTATCCAAAAGTTCTCAATTTCTCAAAAGTAGATTACAAGGTCTGGTAATCTGAAGAACTAACTAAGGAACATAAAAGATCTGAAAGTTTACCAGAACTGAGATTTGATCCTAAGCAAAGTAATTTTCCTGTCGAGCTCCATGTCAGCACACTAACGGGTTAATCTCACTCTCTCCACCCACTAATCAGGAACATAACTTATAAATTAAACAGAACTCCTGAGCCCAGCATTTCTATTTTTCTTTTTTCCTTCTTCACTGGTACCAAAAAATGCAGTTGCATACCTTGCAGGGGTAAATCCCTTGCTGTCCACCTCTTCATTTGACCATAGGAGAGTGCAGTCCAGTCTCTCACCTGTTTTACAGGATCTGGTGCTGGTCCTCGGGATGCCATTTGTGCAGTAATATCGCCTTAAAGCATTGGGGAAAAGACTGTCTATTGTTGCTATCCTGTGTTGTCCCCATTGGGCTCGGGTGCCAACAGTGGACTGACTCCTGGTTGAAGCTCTCATGTCGGTGGAACGCACGCTATGCGTTCCGCCTCTGTCATTTCGAGGGGCCGCCGTGCTGGCAGCTGGTGCAGACTGCCTGTGGAGCGTTCAGAGCGGTGGAGTGCACGCCATGTCAAGTGTTGGCTATAAGAATTAAACTCCCAAGAAAATTACTCTTCCCCAAGTGAGATCTGCCTCTGGTACTAGAATTCCTAGCTTTGAAAGCATGTGAGGGCGAGATTTCTCTGTGGCATCTGATCTTAAAGACAGCCTTCTTAGTGGCAGTTACATCTGCCAGATGAGTTTCAGAGTTGACAGCATTAGGGTTTAAAGAACCCTTTACGACTGTCTTTGCGGACAGAGTAGTCCTTGTTTCTGCCAATGGTTGGGTTTCTGCCAAAAGTAACTTCTGAGTTCTGTCTGAAACAAGAGATAGTTCTGCCTACCTTCATGTCTGAGGATGGCCAACGGGTCAGTCGACTGGATGTTGGTAATACGCTAAAGGCATATGTTGACGCTACTGCCAATCTCAGCAGGGGCGGACTGGGCCGGGGGGCAGGGTGGCAATTGCCCCCCGGGCCTCTCTGATGCCGTCACC